GAGATTGTCCTTGACACCCAACAATATCCACATCTAGTATAACCTAGTTCTTTTCATGCTTATTTTTTAACATAGCACTTATTATTTTCCTAGATACAATATAGTTGACTCGTTTAAAAACAGATTGTTTTCCCTAAGTAGTATACAAGCTCCATAAGAGCAGGAATTTGGGTCTATTTTATTCATGACTGTCTTCCTAGCCCCAAGAGCAGTGCCTGACCTAGTCTGTATTCAACAAATACACATTGAATGAACAAACAGTTCTGATTCTTTTTTTTTTTTTTCTTATTTTTTTATTGCATTTTAGGTTTTGGGGTACATGTGCAGAGCATGCAATAAATACAGTTGCATAGGTACACACATGGCAGTGTGTTCTGTTTGCTTTCACCCACATTTGGTGTTTCTCCCCAGGCTATCCCTCCCCACCTCCCCCTCCTGGTTCTTGCTCTAGACCTCCAGAAAATGTCCTGAGCTTTGGGGCCTGACTACATCTAGCCTAGGAGGCGGAGCTGGGCCCACCCACGTCTGGGGTGAGAGAGAAGCATCTAATGGGGCAGGATTCTCCCACCAGAGGCTTCCTGTCACCCAGAGACTGACTTTCCTCCTCCAGCTCTCGTTAAAACTCTGTTAGACCAGGTGGGGCTACACCTCACTGTCCCTGTTCCCCTCAATATTCCTTGCAGGAAATCCCTATGGGGAAACACCCCAAATAACTCAAATAATAAAGATTTCTATGCAAAACCTGCAGGGGGGACTGGGCTTTAGGATGTGATTGGTGGTGGGGGTTGGTTTATTCATTTTCTTTTCTGTCAGCCTTTTAATGTGAGGTGTGGGGCCAAAAGAATTAACTTGTTATGAGAAATAAAGTAATATTTCTTCCACACTCAAGTTTGGGATTTGAGAGTCATGTCTTTAAGAACTTGGGGAATTAACCCTGTTTGCATTCTGGGGCTCAGCAGAGTGCAGGTTGGCTTCACCTTCTCTTCAGGCTGTGTCCTTACCAGCTTCTTTGATTTTTCATGAGGACAACTCTCCTTCCTAGGGCCAGCTTCATAGAGGTATGACTTGTGCAGTCCCACAGGACCCTACTCTTAGAAAAGAGCTTCAGTTGGTTTAATGTTCTGTTGTCACCATCTTGAAATTCCTAACTTTTGAACAAGAAACACTGTATTTTCATTTTATCCTGGATCTCACAACTCATGCAGCCAGTCCTGACCCTGCCTTTCGCTCAGCACCTTAAAGCACATAGCACTGAATCCCAGAAGAGTTATTAATATGCTTCCCTGAACTCACTGATGCTGAAGAGTTTGCAGAGCTTGCTCAGAAATAATAGGTCTGACCACCCATCAGGTCCAGGGATTAAGCTAACAAGCTGAGATGTGTCCCCAAAGTACATCATCTTGGCTTCCTGTGGAACTGATTTCCCATGCTCACTTTGGCCTGAAGTGCCCTCCTCTGCTAGAGGGACAGCCCTGGAAAGTCACTGTGGTCCATCCAAAGGAAATCACTGAGGATCCTTTTGACGGCATTACGTGTATGTGAGAAATTTCTCTCTGATTTCAGTACATGGAATGCTTAGCCTGAGCAGTTGTATTCTCTTTTTAGAAAAAAAAAAAAAAAAATTAGCTGCTGTGCATGGGGCTCACGCCTGTAATCCCAGCACTTTGGGGGCTGAGGTGGGTAGATCACTTGAAGCCACAAGTTCAAGACCAGTCTGGGCAACATGGCGAAACCCCCGTCTCTACTAAAAACACAAAAATTAGCCAGGCATGGTGGCGCATGCCTGTAGTCCCAGATACTGGATGGCTGAGGCACATGAATAGCTTGAATCCAGGAGGTGTAGGCTGCAGTCAGCCGAGACTACACTCCAGCCTCAGTGACAGAGCAGGACTCTGTCTAAAAAAAAAAATTCGGGACACTGTGAGCCACACAGCTCACTGTTGCCTTCATTATCTTACTATTAGGAAGCTAAGAGCCAACTGTGCCAGCACTGCCAGTAAGCACAGAGCGCATACAGCACACATTTTGGTTAGTCTCCATTTGTGGCTGCATTTTCTCTTGCCTGCCCTCATTTCCCTTTTGCTCCCTGTTTTCTCACCCGCTCATAAAGTTTTATCTTATTGTATATATTTTCTTTTCTTTTCTTTTTTTTTTTTTTGAGACGGAGTTTCACTCTTGTTACCCAGACTGGAGTGCAGTGGCACGATCTCGGCTCATTGCAACCTCCGCCTCCTGGGTTCAAGCAATTCTCCTGCCTCAGCCTCCCGAGTAGCTGGGATTACAGGCACGCGCCACCATGCCCAGCTAATTTTTGTATTTTTAGTAGAGATGGGGTTTCACCATGTTGACCAGGATGGTCTCGATCTCTTGACCTCGTGATCCACCCGCCTCGGCCTCCCTATGTGCTGGGATTATAGGCGTGAGCCACCGCACTCAGCCTCCTTTTTTTTAGATAGAGTCTTGCTCTGTCACCCAGGCTGGAGGGCAGTGATGTGATACTGGCTCACTGCAACTTCTACCTTCTGGGCTCAAGTGATCCTCCCACCTCAGCTTCCTGAGTAGCTGGGATTACAGGCGTGAGCTATCACACCCAGCCTGTATATATTTTCATAAGTCATCTCATACCCTTTCTAGAAAAAACGATCAATCAAAAATTATTAATACTAAAATTAATCAAATCCTGCAGAATTAAGCCTCTCTTCCCATAAAATCCTTACAACTTAAAAAGACGTTTCGAGACTTGCTCAGTTAAACAGAATTGTTCACAACAGAATTCTGGCACAACAATGACTGGAGTCATGGGATTTGCTCTGCAGGGGCCTGAGCCTGATGTTGAAAGGCTTTCAGACCAGCAAGACCCCGTGACACCATGAAGTCAGCTGCTTGGGCTCTGGGAGAGGAGATCACTACCACCCTCTTCCTCTTTCTTAAAAGAAAAACAAATCCAAATCAACTCACTGGCCACTGGACAGATAAATCCTCTATGGCCTTTTCTGAAACCCAAACATAGCACAATTAATCTAGTAGGTAGATTCTGCCTCACTGCTCCAGCTCTGCAGGAAAGAGCAGGGCACTGTGAGCCAGCCACGAAAGTTAACTTGCTATACCTGTGGCTGATCATTTGACATAAAGCAGGAAGGATGGGCCAGGCACAATAGCTCACACCTGTAATCTCAGTGCTTTGGGAGGCCAAGGTGGATGGATCATCTGAGGTCAGGAGTTCAAGATCAGCCTGGCCAACATAGTGTGTGACATGGTAAAAGACCCATAAAACTGCATACCTCAACCATACCTTGGCTTTCTGTTGAAACTGCTCTCTGTGACCCTAATGTGACAGGCAAGCAGTCCAAACCCAAGCCATCTTGGCTCCTGCGACTTGTGATAAGTAACTAAGGCCTGTAATTCCCACCACTACCCAGGCAGTGTGTAAACTAACGCTTATCTTGACTTCTGTGAACCACTTAAGTAACAATTGGAGTGACAAAAGTCCTCTGGCCCTTGGAATGTCCAGAGTCCCTCACCCTCATCTCCACCCAGGAGGTGATTTGCAGAATCCACTAGCCCTTGGAATGTCTGAAGCCCTTCATCCCCATCCCAGCTCCTCACCCTCACTCCTGAGGTGGTTTTAAGGGAATAAAAGGTTTTGACACCCTCCTTTCGGGGCCACGGTTTGGAGAGTCCTCTGTGGCTGCCGGTAATAAAGACGCTGCAATTTGGCATACTTTTGTCTTGGTGTTGACTTTCTATGCTCGGTTCATTACAACAGTGAAATCCCATCTCTACTAAAAATACAAAAATTAGGCAGGCGTGGTGGCCTGTAATCCCAGCTACTTGGGAGGCTGAGGCAGGAAAATCACTTGAACTGGGAGGTGGAGGTTACAGTGAGCTGCGATCATGCCACTGCACTATAACCTGGGCAACAGAGAAAGACTCCGTCTCTAAAAAAAAAAAAACCCCCGCAGGAAGGATGGTTGAAGATCAGGCATCATACTATTTAATCATGATGTGTTAAGCAGCATGAGAGGAAGAGCAGGGCCTTCTCAATTTCAGTCATTCTTGTACCATCTTCGCATGGTTTTTGTCCTATCTGTTTACCACTTACATTTTCCACTTAGTATTTATTTTTGAATCTATTAGCTATACTTTAATCTCACCCTAGGCAACAGTACCCATAAAATCAGGAATTCTGTATGCTAGCTATGTTTTTTCCTAATCCATCATAAATATTTACCTATTAAAATTTTAAAAATGTGTTCACGTACCTCCTATTGTCATCTCACATACTACTAGATGGGCCACACTCCGAGATACATCAAAGGAGAAACTTGAGGCCATATTGGGATTTGGAGAATTACAGAACCTATTCTTTAAAAGGGTCTGCATATATATACATACATTATTGTAGACAGATATCACTGAATATCATAAATGTAATTGACCCAAAAAGTAATAAAATTAGCAAACACCTGTATATTGATTTGATCTTCTTAAGTAATGGAAGTAGGCCAGCTGGTTTTTCATCTGCTTCAAAGATCATTTACTTGGATATTTTAAGTTGAATAACTTTTCCTCCTGAGCTCCTCTCTTCGAAATTTCATGAGTAAATAGAGATTAGGTAGTTATGCTAAGCTAAAGTGCTATTTTCAAAGAATAAAGTATAGCTAATGTATATAGATCTAGGAAAAAAAAGTAGATTTGGGAAAACTAAGTAATCATAGGGTAGAGCCCTTTACACCATCCCAGTTTCTGTTTTTACGTTTCTTCTGATAAAATTGAGCCTTTAAAACAAATATGTTTACTAATGCCAACAGTGCAGTGTTTGTAATGCCCTTTAGAAACAATGCTGGCAGTTGGCAGGGCGTGGTGGCTCTTGCCTGTAATCCCAGCACTTTGGGAGGTGGATCACCTGAGGTCAGGAGTTTGAGACCAGCCTGACCAATAGGGAGAAACCCTGTCTCTACTAAAAATACAAAAAATCAGCCGGGTGTGGTGGCACATACCTGTAATCCTACCTACTCCAGAGGCTGAGGTAGGAGAATCACTTGGACCCAGGAGGTGGAGGTTGCAGTAAGCCGAGATGTCCATCGCATCCCAGTCTGGGCAACAAGAGGGAAACTCCATCTCAAACAAACAAACAAAACAATGCTGGCAATTGTATTATGTTCTGTATTTATTTTATAAATAGTACTTGTTCTATTTACTGTTCTGTTATTTATCAAGCGACAGTAAAATAAAGTTTATTTATAAAATAACAGCATATGTTGTGGCCTGAGGGAAATTGTATTTCAAAGTAGGGTGGAAGGAATCTCTGTGGAGTTAAGAATGCTAATAGAGAAGGGTTGGGAACCTGATAGGAAGAAGCTGGAGAAAATAATTTCAGGCTGTGTTTTCACACCCCGCTGAGCACACTGGGAGAAAAAGTGGGAAGCGGACCTCTGTAAGGGTTAGAAAATGGGGTTGGTGGTGTTTTGTCATGGCACAACTCAAGATATAAAGGCAAAAAATAATTTTTCTGCAAGGTCAATAAAAAGCTTATTTATCAGCAACAAAACAAGGATGGAAGGTATAGTCAGGCTTTACCTGGAGACCTGGGTAGTGTTACAGCTGACCTCCAGGGCTAGCCCAGAGAAGTTTGTAAAGTGATGCTAATTATTATTTAATTGGGCATGAGAAGAAGAAAAGACACTGACAAATTTCTGAGAGAGAATGCGTTTAGTCAGCTAGAAGTTCTAATTCGTGGCTTCAGGGTAAAGGTTTGGTGAGATAAGGGCACTGTGCGGGAAGGCAGGACCACTCCGCACAAACCCAGGAGCCCAGGCGAGGGCTGAGAAGCCAAGCAGGAGCGTGGGGGCTCACCCCGGTGGTGGCAATGGAGGTGGGGTCTGAGGCAGAAGTTTTCTCTGGCTTGAATCATAGCAGCCCACAGAAAATGGCCAAAGAAAGTAAACTGGAAATTTCAAGGGTTTTGCCAGTTCTTGTTATGGTGGAAGCAGGAGCTAAGAGGTACAGCTGAGAGAGGTGCCCCTGCCCCAGGCGACCAAGGGTGTAAAAATTCTATTACAGTAGGTAGTCAGGCAGATAGGAGCAGGGCAGGAGAGGCCCCCTTCCCCCACCAGGAATGTCAGGTGACCATCAGGTGACGGTCACGCGGTTAAGCTGTCCAAAGTAATAATTGGTCGCAGCCGGCGCCAGGGAAAGGCAGTCTCCCAATAAATAGACCAACCTGAAATTGGTGATTAGCAGCTTCCCAAAAAGATCTCAGGAATTGGGTGACTGGGTTCAAGAATGCTCCTAAGAGGCAAAATGGCAGAATTTAACTGGTATATGACCTTCCTCTAGGAGCCCTGGACTGGTAAGGGAAGGACGCCTCAAGTGAGCATGCGTACAACTTCATAAACGTACTGCGCATGCGGCTCGGAGATTGGGGTGGACTACCATACAGGCAGACAGCCCAACCAAAGGGAAGGATCAGGCAAGAAAAGATACAATCCCCACAGAAGCATATAAAACCCCAAGTGGGCCGGGTGTGGTGGCTCACGCCTGTAATCCAAGCACTTTGGAGGCCAAAGCGGGCGCATCACATGAGGTTGGGAATTCAAAACCAGCCTGACCAACGTGGTGAAACCCCGTCTTTACAAAAATAAAAAAACCCCAAGTCAAAGCTCAAACAGCGCACCTGACTCTCTCAAGTTGTCCACTTAGCCTTCTTCCAACTTTACTTTCTTTCATTCCCACCCTAAAACTTTAATAAAATCCTGCTGTAAAAGTTGCCTTGGTCTCTCAACCCTATCTTATGCCCCTTTGTGGTATTCTTTCTTCTGAGTAGGCGAGAACTGAGGTTGCTGCAGACCCTTATGGATTCACTGCTGGTAACAATTTGACAATTAAAAAATAAATGTAGGGGCTGGACATGGTGGCTCACGCCAGAAACCTCAGCACTTTGGGAGGCCAAGGCAGGCGGATCACTTGAGGTAAGGAGTTCAAGACCATTCTGGCCAACATAGTGAAATCCCCATCTCTACAAAAAAAAAAATACAAAAATTAGCCAGGTGTGGTGGTGTGTGCAAATAATTCCAGCTAATCAGGAGGTTGAGGCAGGAGAATCGGTTGAACCTGGGAGGCAGAGGTTGCAGTGACCTGAGATAGTGCCACTTTACTCCAGCCTGGGTGACAGAGTGAGACTCTGTTTCAAAAAAATAATAAACAAATAAATATAGACCTGGTGTGGTATGAGATGGGAGGATTGCTTGATGCTAAGCGTTCAAGACCAGCCTGGGCAACAAAGCAAGATCCTATTTCTAAAAACAAAATTTTCAAAATTTAGAGGATGCTTCAAAGAGCCCCTTTGTTGACAGTTGAACTACATTTGGTGAATTGAAGACAGGGAAGAAAGAGTCTAGACATTACAGCCTCCATGGTTCCCTCCCCCTCCTGTTCCTCACAGTGATCACAGGAACCTAACAACGTGACATGTTCCTGGTGTGATGGGAAGTTCCTTAAAGCACAATCCAGCAGTCATGTGCTTGAGGGTGATGAAAAAAGAACTTGTGTGTGTGTATGTGCGTGCAAGAAAGAAGGTTTATCCTGACATTGTTTTAGTAAATTGTTAGTAAAACCCAAGTGTCCATCAATAAGGGAGAGGTTAAACTCATTATAAGATACTCATGCACCAGGATACTATTCAGCTGTTGAAACAACCACGGTAGACCAGGTTTAGTCAGGATATCAGAAAGGTCTCCGTGTATTCCATTTAGGAGGGTTTTACTGTAGGGAATTATTGGAAAGCCTGAAAGAGTGGAAGTCAGGGAAGCTGCTGCTGCTAACCTCAGCCTGAAGGACCAATGTGAGAGGTTCACACACATTATAGAAGTGAACTGGGTCCTGCTTGCCCAGTGCAGTAAAACCAGATACTCAAACTGAGGTTTTCGCAGTGATAGAAAAGAAGGCATTTATTGCAAGGTGCCAAGCAAGGAGCATCAGCAGCTTATATCTAAGTCCCTAACTCCTTGATGGCTTGCAGGTAAGAGTTTTTAAGGGCAGGGGCAAAGTTCAGGAAGACAGAAGCTACAGGCAAATCATAAATCAATACATGGAGGGTCCACATTGGTTTTGGCCAAAAAGCGTAGGATGTCTTGAAGCAAAAGGCTTATATGTTATAGGTAGATTTAAACATCTTCTGATTTGCAATTGGCTAAGGAAGAGAAGCTTTGTTTAAAAATGTGAGATCAGTAGAAAAATGTTAACTGGTTACTGGGAAGAAACTGTCTCCAAGCCCTTCAGGAAAAAAAACTTAGAACAAAGGACAATAAAGTTTAGTCTTCACTTCCCCCTTATCTGGGGTCTACTTGCCATGCCCCTGATCCATTTGTGGGAGTCTTCAGTGGGGGGTCCAAGCCTCTGAAAGACAACTCAGGGATATACGTGAAGATAATATCTTTAATTTCTATAAGGAAAGCAAACATCTCTGGGACTCCAACTTCTTTAGCTATTGTTTTAGGCTATTATTACCTTCTTGTTTAAGAAGTTACTTACTTCTCAGAGCTAACTGGTACCTGGAATTTCTCTTGAAAGAATTTAAGATTTATGTCTATGCTTAGGGCCCACAGGCCTCTAAAAAAGGGAGACTCCTTGCTCCATCTCACACAAGATTGTGGTGGGCTGCTGCAACCTCATGTCTCCCACCTGCTTGGGAGGAGCGGCCTCCAGAGGAGAATGGCCTCTTTCCTTCCTTCTTGCAGATAATGAGCAGGAACCTTTTGCAGGCCAACATGAACCCGCCACCATGAGGCGAAAGGGACTCTGGGAAATGTAGTTCCAGCATCTCACCTGGGAGCCCGCAGAGTGTGCAGCGGTGATGGAGAGTTGAGTGCAGACCTCCTGTGCAGCCTGAGCGTGCTGCGAGGAAAAGGGATGAATGCTGAACAGACTTCACAGTGATAACCTCTTGGAAGGGGGGATTTCAAATGGGAAGAGAGAAGAGGCTATGAAGAGAGAGCTATCACTTCTTTATTTTTAAGCAGCTTTGTTGGGATATATTTGAATACTATACAATTCACCCACGTGAAGTGTCCAGTACAGAATGTTTTCAGTACGTTCACAGGCTTTTGCAACTATCATCAGAGCGTTCACTTTTAATTACACTACTTTTCTGTGTTGTTTAAAACTATGATTACAAGCCTTAATTGCACAATAAATGTGATAGAGCCAGGCTGTAACCAAACTTGGTTATTTTGCTGGAGTAATTAAAATAGGGTTGCCAGATAAAATACAGAACGTTAACTGTCAATGTCAGATAAATAGTGAATAATTTTCTAGTGTAAGTGTGTCTCAAATATTACATAGGACTTATACTAAAATTATACATTGTTTATCTGAAATTCAAATTTAACTGTGTTCTGTGTTTTTGCTGAATCTGGCAACTTAAATGTTAAGCATACACGGATCATATGATCCAGCCATTCCACTTCTAAGAGTTTCCTACAGAGAACGGAAAACATGTCCACACCAAATCTGTATGCAAATGTTTAAAGCAGCTTTATTAATAATAGCCCAAAAGTAGGAATGGCTCCCTGTCAACGAGTAGGTAGATGAACAAACGATGGCACCCCAACATAGTACTTGGCAACAAAAATTAATGAACTATTGATACATGGTAATAACATGCAGGAATCTCAAAAACATTCTACTGAGTGAAAGAAGTCAAACTGAAACTATGAACTTCTAGAACAGGCAACATTAATCTATAGCGAGAGAGAACTTTCTTGAGTGATGGAATTGTTCTATATCTCGAGGGTGGCCAGTGTTTACACAGGTGTATACAGTTGTCAAAACTCACTGAACCCCATTGGAAAGAGGTGTAGTTAACTGCTTGTAAATTATACCTCAACAATAAGGGATTCAACGAACCACAGACAAGGGCTGGGCGTGGTGGCTCACGCTTGTAATCCCAGCACTTTGGGAGGCCGAGGCAGGTGGATCATGAGGTCAAGAGATCGAGACCATCATGGTCAACATGGTGAAACCCCGTCTCTACTCAAAATACAAAAAATTAGCTGGGCATGGTGGTGCGTGCCTGTAATCCCAGATACTCAGGAGGCTGAGCCAGGAGAATTACCTGAACCCAGGAGGCAGAGGTTGTGGTGAGCCGAGATCGTGCCATTGCACTCCAGCCTGGATAACAAGAGCGAAACTCCGTCTCAAAAAAAAAAAAAGAACCACAGACATAAATTTTGCACCAAATAGCAGTGAATTAGTAGCATACCTTTAGAGCTCCAATCAGCATATGCTCAGTGTGGATCTGACAATCAGCAGTGCTGTTTAGTTTAATAAAGTGGAATAAAATAATGATATGCTTTTTCTTTCATCTTTCAGATTTAGTCACATTTGTCCAGAGCTGACACTTTTATAGCCTAGATCTCACTAAATTTATTTGAATGAGAATTGTCCATACCAACAAAGGAAGGCTCACTTTGTTCAATGACAAATCTCTATTCAGTCCACAAATTATGTATTAATTGTCTTCTTTGGGCTGGGCTTCATGCCAGGCTGTGGTCAGATTTACTGGTGATTCATGCCGCTGATGGCTGAGCAGTGTGGGGAGGGGGAGACAGACATTAAACAAATAAACATGTAAATTTCATGGGCATAAATGACAGCACTGCAGACTTCGGAGTGCCTCATCTTCCTTCTGCTCCAATGGAAATTCACTTTGTTCATACGGCCCCTGCTGTGCTAATTTCTACCTTCATCTGTTGGGATGGAAGCTGAGAGTCACCATTTTTCATGCTTCTCTTCCTAACTTTGGGGCAGCCATACCCACAGCTCAGTGGCTGCCTTTTCATGCACTCCCCAGCCTCTCTTGCAGCTTGAGGTAGCCCCTGTCAGTTCTCCCATGTGACAGGGCAGGAGAAGTGACTTTCGGCAAGGTAGTTTCAAGGTGTGTGTGAGTGTGCCCTTTTAACCCTTGTGCTCTTTGTCTCTCCTCCTGGAAGGTGGATGGTAAAAAGGGCCTGGAGCATCAGCTGCCATCTTGGATCAGGTGACATCCTTAAGGACGGATGTCATGTGCAAAGATGGCAGAGCAGAAGACAGAGGGAGTCTAGGTTTCTGGTGTTAAAGAAGCTGCCATCATTCTGGTTCTGGATCACTTACCCATGGACCCTATGATGGGAGAGAGAAAAAAACTATGTTGCTTGGAGCTTCTGTTATTTTGGGTCTCATATTATTATATGAGACCCAGGCCTAACTGATGCATAGGGGTTCTGGTCTGCCTGTTTGGCTGTGAGTCTTCTACTGTAAATGGAGTTCTCGATGATTGGGGAGAGGTGAAATGGAGAAGCCCTGGAAATGAGAATGACTAGTT